CTAATTTTTAAGGAAGTATTTTCTTCAGTAAGCTTTTGGACTTCCTTTTCCATTTGGCCTGCTTTTTAGGACATTCTTCTCCTCATTGGCTTTTCGGACCTCTTTTACCATTTGGGTTAGGCTATTTCTTAAGGTGTTATTTTCTTCAGTATTTTTTTGGATCTCCTTTAGCATCACTCTCAGTTGGCCTGGGACCAATTCATATTTTTGTCGCAGGCTTTGGATGTAGGAGCTTTGGCTTCGTTGTCTTCTTCTGGTTGTATGTTTTGATCTTCTTTGTCACCAAAGTAAGATAATACAGTCCGACTCTTTTTGCGCTGCTTGCTCGTGATCTCAGCCAACTTGAGTTATAAATTCTTTGTTAAGGTAGAAGTCTGTTTCCAGTGTGAAGAAAGTGTTGTCCCAAGCTTCAGGGGTTTTGTGCAGCTGTTTTCAGAGATAATTCTAGGGACCTGTAAATTTTCAGTTCTTCCAAGGTGCTATGATCAAGGGTGAGGTGTTTACTCCTTTCTTGGCCTGTGCTCTGGTCAATAAGTACTCTTTTCTGTCTTAGAACTGTGAGGAGGGTTTCCTCTCCACAGCCACTACAAGCTCCACCACACCAGTGGTCTTCCTCATCCCAGGACTGCCATCCAGAACTGTGACCCAGATCCAAGCATGGACAAAGCAAGAGATTCCTGCCTCAGCACAGGCAAAGAGATTCCTGCAATCCCTCTCTGATCAGCCACTTGATTACCCCTCAGTCTGTAGGCCGGAAGCTCAGGAGGCAGCCAGGGCCCGCCTTTAGGATTTGCAGCTGAGACCTAGCTTCTCTCTCACCGCAGTCACAGACTTTTCCCACTACCTTCTAAGTTGTCTTTGGTGTTGGTGGGTTGAGAAGTCTGGAAACGGCCACAGCTGCCTGCGATTCAGGACTTCGAGGCCTGCTCCAGGTTCGCTGTGGTCTGTGTGCCCACACCAAACTGCACTCCTTTCCCAGTCCGGCACGATATACTTTCCAATCAACCATCCAGGCTGTCTTTGGCTGGAAATTTGTTTCACTCTGTCTTTTTGT